TTCGAGCCTCTGGCTCGCCGTTGCGGCCCGCAGGAAGAATGCCAGCTGCGGGGCGAGGAGCGCCGGCCGCGCCACCTCCACGGGCACGGGCGGCATGTGGCGCTTCTACACTGAGGACTCGCCGGGGCTCAAAGTGTAAGTTGGGGGTGCGTGGGCAGCGTGCGTGTGTGTCTGTTGTTTATTCGGTTTTTAATCTTTAGAGGTTAATGCCTTGGTCTGATATATGTTGAGCTGGTGGCTGCTTAGCCTTAGGAGGAACTTGATATTTAATATGGTATTAATATGAACCTGGAAGGGTTGGCTTTACGCTTAAGGCTGTGGTTATTTAAAAGAGAAAGGGTTTTGTTTTGTGAGTTACCTACGTGCACCTTCAGTGGTCTCTGAAGACCGTGAGCAGCCTCTTTGAAGTTGGAACAGATTGTCACAGTGAATTTAGCCTGATGCTTGTAATCATGATAAGAGTCCTTAATTGGCTTTCTATTTTTAATATGGCACATGTATTCTAACCATTAATTTTTCATTTTGAAAACCTAATGCGATTGATGTGCTGTACGCTTGTAGAATTTAAGGGCTTGTTTGTTTTGTTTTAAACTTTAGGTGAAGATAAGCAGGGTATTGCAATGTTGTTCATTTTGCAACTCTTAATGTAAGAATTAAACAGGCTTATCTCTACTGTTATAGGATTATAAATAGAGCCTGAGCTTTTATTTCTTAATGACATTTAGTCATTTAGTTTGTTGCCCAAACTAGCCTAACAAGCCTAGCACTTGAGTAGAGGGACAGGGACCATTTCAGTTGACAGGACTGTGTGCCAAGTCACAGTGTTCACTTGTGTTTTGTGTAGAGTGAAGTTGTACACTTCACAGCTTCTTAATTTTTGTTACTGGGCTGAACAGACTCAGAAGACCCAGATAATTCCCCAGTTTCTTCTCTTCTCGTAGAATCTATTAGTGTTTTATTTTGGGGTTCTTAAAGAGCAGAAATACATCAGTAAAAAAAAAATGCAGCTTGAGAGGGTTTTTATGATAGTGAAGGTAGTGACTGTATCACAAACTGTACCTTCTCTGATATGTTCAGTGTTTTCATGTGCACTTGACTTAAAAATTCAAAACAACACAAAAGTAACCCAGAAAACAAAACGAACAAACACAAGGAAGGCAAAACACCAAAACAAAAACCAAAAAACCTCAATTCCGCCCCCCCAATAAAATACCCACAAATAAAGCCCCCTCCCAACAAAAACAAACAAAATCTTACTGTAACCCTTCAAAATAATTACTTGTTTTTTTTATTGCTGATCTTGTTTTCCCCGTTCTGAATCCAAGGAGCATGCAAGGCAAAGACTGAAAATATGAGCACCACTAATGCTTTAGAGCAGTATGTCTGTGCAGATATTTTGTGTACCATGTAGTCTACTAAAGCTTAGCTGAAAAAGGAATAAAAGCAAACTGATAGAAGCCTGCTACCCTTAGGGTAGCTTCAATTGAGCTGTGCTTAAAAGCAGTAAAAATGCCTTCATCAGCTGCTTTAGTAAGTCTCCTGAATGGATCTCCGTTTTACTGCTTTATACTCATAGGTTGCTCTAAACTTCAATACCAGCAGGTTGGGAGACTTTTTCCTCCCCTAACTGTGTTGCAGCCCAGGCGCTCTCGCAGTCCGCCCTGAGGGGGCTTTTGCAAACCACCACGGGTACCTTTTTGGTCAGGCTGTTAGCAGAAGAAGCAAATTTGTAGAAGTGAGTTGGTTTTACAGCCCAGCTGCAGACAAATTACAGTGTTTTGTAAACCATGGCTTTGACCTAACTTCCTTCCTTAGAGCTTTATACTTTCTGTATCATATCTATCCAGTAAGTTTTAAAATGAAAATGGGTTATAGACAGATTGTCATTGCCTCAGATATTTCAGCAGAAGCTGCTTTTAAAAATGGTTGTGACCTACATCAGCGTGATTATTTTTAAAATTCAGTTTCTTGTGCTGTTTAGAATATGTACTCTTAGAATTCTTAGAAATTTGAAAAAATCATAAAAGCACCTAAGAAAGGGTTGTCTTGTGCTAGTTGTGATTGGGACGATTCTGATGGAGATTAAAAGTTTCGTATTTTTATTGTGCGTAACTGTGCTTCTGATGCCTCAAGCTTTTTTTACGGTTTATCCCTAATCAGAAATAATAAGAATTACATTGAATAAACAACTTTGTTTTGCCTCAGGTAGATGCCTTTGTAATCATACTGCAAAATATAAAAAGGAAATGTGTGGGACGTGATTGGAAGTGGGATGTGATATTTTTCTTTTTAAACTTAATATTTTGTCCTTTAACAGGGCTAATACCAAGATAGTGTACTTAAACTTGTTACTCTTTCTGTGTCCTTTAGTATCTTTGGTTTCTCTATCTGTCTTGAGCCCGCTTAAAGAGCGATAGGTGGTGTTTCTCATGGGATCGTGATAGAGGATCAAATTGGACTTGTGGTGCTGGTATGCAGCCTTCTGCAGAAACTTCTGAGAATGCACAACATGAAGTTTTTAACATTTATTGAATTTTACATACGCATACATATCTTTAAGTGAGCATTTAAGGCTGAGAAGATTGAGGTATATGAGGAGAATTCCAGTGTTTTAACTGGTTTTCTTCGGAACTGAAATAGACATGATACCTGAACTGAAAACTTCTGTACTTCTGTCATGGGACCAATGTAATCTGTGGGGACCAATGTAATCTGTGATCCTGTTTATTTTCATTTACATTGTTCCAATTCGTAGTGCTCCTCTTTAGCAAATAGATGTCTATTGCTATGTAGTAACACAAAAGCCATTGGCAACAAATGGTTTATGTGTTGCTACCATTAAAGGCACAAATGAATTAGGTAGTAATTTAGATAAAACTTTTAAGGGTGTCATGCATTGCTTATTGCTTATGATTTTAAGCAATACTATAAGCTTATTGCTTATGGTATTGCTTATGATTTATATTTCTCATAGAACATAATCTTCAACAGTTGAAACACTTGCTATTGAAGAGCAGGTTCTGTTTCTTAGTGAAAGCTTTCTCTCCTATAGGTAGAATCCAACTGCAAAAGTGTGATTCCTGTGTAGTCATGCTTGTGCAAACACTGCATGGTGTCAGCTTGTATTTTGTCATTAATTTGCTTGTTCGATGCTTTACATCTATTCAGGATTCTTTGTACCCAGTTCAGCCTAAGCAGGGTATATAATGACTGAGTTTTAGACCTGCTTGTGGAAAATGGTAATTATGAACGTTTGAAATGTGTGGATCAGGATCTCATAAAGAAAGTAAATTATTTCAGTCATATTTATTTTTTATTTTTATTTTGTATTCAAGTAACATCTTTCTGCTTATAAACTGAGACTTGGAGTAGTCCGCAAAGGCTGTAAGTGCTTGAAGGCTAGATAACTACTCTTACAGTGTTTCTCCCAATATCATGCTGAAAATCAGATACTAGGTGGTATGAAGCAATTTTGAGTAGTGTGATTAAGTCATTCGTAGTGTCAGGATGGCATGGAACAGCTGGCTTGGTCTGTCAACATGAACCTTGCAATTAAGCTGCCATTTTTTTTTCAAAAATATGCATAAGGGTGGGAAGGGGGAAGAAAGACATTAAGAAATACATTGGAATTGTACATCTTAATGATTTTATAGCAGACTTGACTTTGATATTCTGCCCATCTTTTCCAAAAAAAAAAAAAAACAAAAAACTTCCCCTCCCCCCTCCCCCTGCCTTGACTCCACTGCCACAGTCTGAGGAGAGAGACAGCTACTAGAATATGAACTTCATGCCAAAATTTGACTAGCCGCTAGAGGACTCTGTTGTCTCTCATATGTGACTATGTGTCTGTTCGGGGGGGATATCTGATTGGTAAAAGGAGATTATAACGTTCTAAAAGTCTGGAGATTCATTTCATGACAATAAGCAGGAGCGAACCGTTAATTACTTTTAAATAGAAGTGGTGCTTTGTTGTGCTTACAGTCGTGTAGCATTTAGGGTATTTAACCTGTTCTTAAAAATGCAGTGCCAGCAGCAGGTTTTGATAAGGATGGCTCTCTCATACCTGTATGTTCCTATGGGAATGGAATAAGAGCTTTTTCGTACAATAGCATATGAACTGATGAGCTCATTTGGCTGATATTGCCCTTTGGGCAAAGCAGATGTTGTTGTTGTTGCTTTTTATGTTAATACATTTTCTTTCTTTATTTTTAGTGGTCCTGTTCCAGTTTTGGTCATGAGTCTTCTTTTTATTGCTTCTGTGTTTATGCTGCACATCTGGGGTAAATACACCCGTTCGTAAACTCAGTTGCGAACTTAAATCATGCATCTTGGACCAAAAATATTATGGATCCTGGTTGTTCTTGGAAAAAGATTGGGAGAGCTTCCTATCAGCTATTGAAGCCCTATCAACTTTGGCTCAAATATTAAATGAACTTTTCAGTTCTTTGGGCAGGTTTGAAGTCTGTTATGAGTCATCGTGTATTTGTATCTGTACTTAGAATACAGGTAATGCAATAAAATTTGTATATGGAAATGGAAAAAGTCTCAACTTTATTCTTGCAGCAACTAAAGCATTATAATTATGGTTTTCACATGTAACCATATTTTTGATGAAATACAACTTGAAATTTAAACCAGATTCTTCTCTACTGAACATCAATGTACAGTTTTATACCAGAAGATATTTTTCTCTGAATGGGAGATGACGATTGTTGTGCATAAGCATGTGAAAGTGAAAACATAGTTAATAAAACTCAGATAGATGGTTGAGTTGCTCATGTTCTACTGTGTTTCCAGAATGGATAGCTTATTTATTTTCCAAATGCAAGTTAAATCTTACTCTGTGCTAATTATACATAAAATATTTAAGTGTACTTGCTTGTCAAACCGCAAAGATGTAAACAGGTGCCCAGCTTGATTTTAAAAATACTGTAATTGCATGGCTGTCGAACAGTTTAGGAAAACTGTACTTCTTGGTGCAAAACTCCATGAGCTTTCTTCCATATCTAGAATCTTTGGAGGAGGCTTAGGTGGGGTGAAATTGGATGGAAAGCCTAGAAAGGTAGTAATTGTACCTCAGCCTGTTTATATACAATGTTATTTTAAAAACAGCTAAGTGGCTGGCTGGATAACCACCCAATTGTCCTTGTGGGTGGTGGTTTTTATTTACCTTCGTATGGGTGGCCAGCTGTCTCTCCCTATGCGCATGCATGTTGGTGCGTTAGAACGGGTTGGCCATCGTAGCTGATGTGCTCCGATTCATGAAACCCAAGTGATCCTTTCCAAACTCTTGGACAAAATTCTTCCAGCATGTTTTTCGTATGACAGTCATTTTTGGCCATCAGCTCATATCAAGACCATAACCTTGGCTGTGCAATCTTGGTATGAGGTTTGACTGTTGACATGGGTTATAGAAGCAACCTTTTTTCTTCCCCTCCCCGCCCCCTCTTCACATGCGCCTCACCATTTGAAGCAATTCTTATAGTACTAGTACTACAGAAAAGAAGGGGGGGGAAAAAAAACAGGAATGTGGTCTCAGGCTGTAAGAATACCTGTCTTAACATGTGCACTGTTACCTTGTCTAAATATACAGGGCAAGACAAAAGACTGGGAGCAAAATCTGACCATTGACTTACTCAATGTACTGGTATGAGGGCTGTGTTTTAAAAGTGGTGAGAGTTGAGGAAGAGGGAATTCCAGTGCCTGAAAGCAGTAGCAAATTACAAAAAGGCCATGGAGGTTGTGGCTAATACATTGTGTATCAAGGGAATAAGGATCCCATAGTGACTTGGTACGGTGCGTAGTGAGGGGAAGTGAGTGTTTGCCACAAAGAAAAATAAAGAGGAAGATCAGCTCACTTCAGACGGCAGAGGTAAGGAGTCCTTGTTTAAATTCTGTGCCTAGCAAGAGAAATCTGTGCAGCCAGTGACAAAAACAAAAACAAAACAAACCTCCAAAAACAAAACAAAAAAAAAAAAAAAAAAGGTGCTTCTGGCTGTGTGGCCAGACTGTGCTGCTGACTTAATTAAGAACACCTAAGGGAAAGGAAAAGTGGGCCTTAAAGTAATGTAAGCGGAAGGAGTAATCTAATGGTAAAACCTAAGTGGGTACCCACAGTTTTAGTCACATGTTGATGTTCAATTCAACTACAGTTGCTTAATGTAGCGAGGAACAGTTGCCTTTTCAATGCTTCTGATCTGAGAAAGATTGTTTAGTAACTTCAAATATTTGATTTAAAGCATTCCATACTTTTGCTTATCTACAGTCTAAAGACTGAAAGCAGCCTTAACATCCCACCCCCTCCCAAAAGACGGTGGATGTAGGAGTAGGCTCATGGCTGTAGAGTCGGTGTTTTATTAGCCAGCATTGACTGCTTTAACAGCACCTCTCCTTGATCGTTGTCCAGAGTGGCCCGCGTCACAGAGTTTTACATACGCTGTCAAAGAGTTTGTTATCTTCTGTTTTGCGCTAATTATTTTCTTCCCGTTCTCTGCTTTTAATTTGGAAGTGTGAATTTTCTTCTGGTTCAAAAAACATTGCCGCTTTAATTCATAATCATTTTAATAATTGTCATGAAAGTGTTAGGTGTTCATGTTTGCATATGTGAGCTGTAGCGTATTCTTGCAGTCAGTGTTTACCAAGACTTCATATTCCTAAGTGCAAATAAAGAAATAAAGATTGCAAAGACTTTCTAAAAGTCTAGCTGATAATGAATACAAAATTCAGTTTGCTTGGGTGAATAAATTGTGGACATACTGATGAACGGTACCTAAGTTCACAGTACCAGAATGCTAAAATGCTTTTTAGTAAGTGAGAAAGAAAGAAAGGGAGGTCATTTGCAAAGTTTCGTATCAGACAACACTTAAGACTTCAAGTTTCTATCTCTAATTGTGACTAAAATTAAGCTCAAAAAAGCTTTCTGCTTCAACTTAAAAGTATCTCTGTAGCCTCCTTAAGAGCTACAGAAGGAGCTTTTAACAATAAAGGTTTGGGAGATCTGAGAGAACTTAAACTTCCACAGGAGACATGGTATTAGAAGGTGGTTTTCCTGTTTTCTTTAATACTTTCAACCTGAGGCTTCATTATTCATGGTTTGCTCCTTTTTGGACTGTACTGTGCTGTACTCAGCAGTATAAGGAAGCAAACTGAAGAGCTTGAAAAGCTTTTTCCTCAGTTCTGTTCACTAGAGATGAATGGATGCTATAGTGATGTTATATTCATAAATATATTTGCAGATTCTGTAATGTGCTTGATATTCTGTCCCTTTTTTTTTCCTCCTTTCTATAGGTTCCTTAAAGACTAAGTTGTTATACAGGTTCAGCTTTGATATTGTCAGCAGTGATATCCTCATATTAGCTGTTTATATGAATGTGTTTTGCCGAGGGCTTGTTATGTGAACCTTTCAGTGTTAGTAATATTACTTACTCTTAACTTGGAAAGTGAATTATAAAGGGAGATTTTACCTTTTGCCTTCTTTATTGAGGAAAAATTACATAGTGTCAACAACTGCTTTGATTTCAGAAGTTGGTGAAAGGAAAGGCAGGCACAGCAAGAGCAGGTGCAATGCAGTTCCCGAGCAGAGCTCTTTCCTGACCTATGCTATGACCTTCTCGTCCATCTCATTGCTACCATATTCTGGTAGTCTCTTCTCTGGAGACTGCCAATTATACCAAACTGCAACAAGGAATAGGACAATGCTCTGATTTAGAGATGTGTCTCTAAATTCTGCCCTGTGACAAGCT